TGTGCCCACACCTCGCTCAGCCAGTGAGCGGGAACCGGTCTGTATGTGGGATCCGAACCCTCGGCGGGAGCGCCGCAGCGCTCCCAAGTGGCGCACCGTAGCAGTGTGCCAACGGGCTGGCCCTAAACATTGTTTTTAATAGAAGATTGAAACTAGCGTAAATGCTTGTTGACAGGGGACTGTTTAAATTGATTACAGTACATAATAGGAAAGAATAAAATGCAGTTGTGAAAAAGACTGAGGACACACTCTTTTTTTTTTTTTTTTAAAAAAGACGACCAGTAAGGGGATCTTTTTTTGTTGTCCTTTTTGAGACCGGCTGCACCGCGCTCAGCCAGTGAGAGCTGTGAGTGCACCAGTCATCCCTACACAGGATCCAAACTCGCGGCGGGAGTGCCGCTCGCTCCCAGCGCCACACTCTCCTGAGTGCGCCACGGGCTCAGCCCTTGGTAGGGGGATCTTAACCCTTGACTTGGTGTTGTCAGCACCACGCTCAGCCAGTGAGCGAACCGGCCATCCCTATATAGGGATCCGAACCCGTGGCCTTAGGTGTTATCAGCACTGCACTCTCCCGAGTGAGCCACGGGCCAGCCCTTGAAGTATTTAACTTCTAAAACGCGCCATGTTCATGCAGGCACATTAATAACATCATTCTCACTCAGTTGGTTAGAGCGCGGTGTTATAACACAAAGGTCAAGGGTTTGGATCCCTGTACCAGCCAGTCGCAAAAAAAAAAAAAAAAAAAGATGAACGGTAAGGGGATCTTAACCCTTGACTTGGTGGTGTCAACACCACGTTCGGCCATTGAGTGAACCAGCCATCCTTAGATAGGGGTCCGAACCCGTAGCCTTGGTGTTATCAGCACCACACTCTCCCGAGTGAGCCACGGGCTGGCCCAGCACTTTATTTTAAAACAGACTTCCTGTTAGAAGATTTTTCCCAACTGTAGGCTAATATAAGTGTTCCTAGCACATTTAAGGTGGGCTAGTTGGTGAGGTTGGGTGTATTAAATGCATTTTCGATTTAGGATATTTTCAATTTATAATGGGTTTAGAGATCGGGTTGTAATCTCACTGTAAGTTGAAGAGCATCTGTATTTATTTATTTATTTTTATTTATTATTTTTTTTTCCTTTTTTTGTCTTTTTTCGTTACTGGCAACGGATCGCAACCCTCAGTGTCACGCCCGTACCGGACCGGGACCGGCAATGGGAGCGCAACCCTCGGTGTTGCGCTCGCACCTCGCTCAGCCAGTGAGTGGCCGGTCTGTATGTCAGATCCGAACCCTCGGTGGGAGCGCCACCACGCTCCCGAGCGGCGCACTGTAGCAGTGCGCCACCGGGCCAGCCCAGAAGAGCATCTGTATTTAATTTCCATCATGGTTTATTCTTTCAGCTAGTTATTTGGAAGACTTTTTTTTTTTTTTTTTCAATTCCAGGTATATGTTTATTTATATCTTACATTGTGGTCTGATAATATGGTATTATACAGTTCTTTGAAATTTGCATTAGGCCGGCCCGTGGCTCACTCGGGAGAGTGCGGTGCTGATAACACCAAGGCCACGGGTTCGGATCCTATATAGGGATGGCCGGTTTTCTCAATGGCTGAGCGTGGTGCTGACAACACCAAGCCAAGGGTTGAGATCCCCTTACCGGTCATCTTTTAAAAAAAAAAAAAAAAAGAATGAGCAGTCTTGAAGTTTTGGGCACATAGTTCTATATATGTTTATTAGATCAAGTTTGTTAGTAGTGGTAAAAGAAAAAAATAAAAAGGAAGGAAGGAAGGAGAAAAAGAAAGAGAGAGAGAAACAGAGAAAGAAGAAAGGAAGGAAGGAATGAAGGAAGGCAGACAGCCAGGCCATCGAAGCAATCCAGGCGAGAGATTATGGCAGGTTGGGAGCAGGGAAGATGGCGGAAAGTAGAGAGGTTCTAGATGCTCTTGGGAGACAAAATTGGTAATTCGTTGGTGTTGGATTGGGGCAGGGGCGGGGGGGGGGGATGAAAAAGAGAGAGGCATCAAGAATGATCTCTTTGGTTTCCGGCTTCGGCAACTCGACAGGTGGCGGAGCTATGCAATTGAGATAGGGAATCCTAGGAGAGATTAAGAAATCTCTTTTCCCTAGGGATGTTTCCTTGCTTCCCGTGGGGGATAAGAGGGATCTGACAATACTGAGGCTTGGGGCTGGAGTCACCAGCTCTTCTGCACTTGCCTAGAGCTCTTTATATATAGGTATTACACCACTTATCATGGTGTAGTCTCATTACAAGGTATTACTGCACTCACTGAACTGCTAGCTCAGAAAGGTAGGGCGGTCTGAAAGACTGACCAGCAACTGGCTCCTTCCTTCTTGCCCCATCTTTTAGCCCCACCCCCAGGAGATTTCCGACCAGCTGGATTCTCCCTAAAGAGCTCCGCTCCGCCCCTAGAGCCACCTTTTCTTTCTAGTCAAACAGGACTAGAGTGATTGACTAGTCTATTCTCCAATCATCATGCCTAGTAACCATATAACTACCAATTAGACGGTAGCAGAGGCGTGTGCCGAAGCCTGCGCAGGTGGTGACCAGGAAGTGAGAGCCGAGATTGGGAAGAAGGACGAATCAAGCCCAACGCTGGAAAGGTGATGGGGCATCTGGATTTCCCAAATTCCTCCTTTCCCCATTACAGGGTCAGGGGTACCTTCGCAGCTTGGAGCTAGGATCTACATTTACCCTTTTGATGCAGGAGGGGGTGTGTGTCTACTTATTTAAGCGTTTGAAGATCTTTCTTGAGTTCCCTTCCTCTCGCTTCGCCTCGAGGCTTGTCTTTCTCCTAGCCTGAGGTGGGGGTCCTCCCCGGGTGGGCGGAAAAGTTGTTTGAGATCCTTTTTTGCCCAGCGGGTGACTTAAGTTTTCAGGGAAAGAGATGAGTGATGGGATCCGAGATTCTCGGACTCTGCGGCCTTCCGAGGAGTTAGCCACCTCCAGCTGCGGCCAGAGGTAGAGGAAGGTGGAGGGGCCCTGGGAACTAGATTCCTGTAGTTAGGAAACTAGGAATAAAGTAGTTGTTGAGGGCAAAGGAACGAGTAGAAAGAACCATGTGTTATGTGGAGATCTCGGTAGTTCTGTAAATGGGAGAGCCTACTGTGGGGCGGGAGACGTTGGGGTTGGGGATTGGGGCTTGGGCTCTAAATCCCCTTCCCACCTCTGGGCCTCCAGCTTTTTGACTCATTTCTTTCTCCTCAGGCTGGGGAAAACACCTGAACATGTGGAATCCTAATACCGGTAGGTGTTTGAAAGCTCTCTTCTCCCACCCTAACCCTTTTTAAGATGGAATGCACAAGAGGAAGTTTCTGTGTCAGATCCCCACCCCCACTACTGCCTCTCCGCTCACACGCAAAGGCAAAGTCCTTGGACCACAGCGGACCAATTCTTTTTGTCTTTCCTAAGAGTACACTGTCTCTTTGTCTCCCCAGCCCTTCCAAGGATGTTCCCCTTTTTCTTCCCAACTCAGGTTTGTCTCCCCTACCCTCCATTCTCCTTCCTCACCTTTCCATTTTCCTTCAAGTATTGGGTGAGAATGTGACTTTTTGTTGTTTGTTGTCAAAGGCTATAATCTTTATTCTCTGCTTCTTCCACCAGGGCAGCCAGGGCCAAATCCGTATCCCCCCAACGTCAGGTACCCTGGAGGTCCCAATCCTGCCCATCCACCACCTGTCAATCCGGCCTTTCCTCCAGGCCCCTTTCCCACTCCCCCAGGAGCTCCCCAGGGGAATCCAGCTTTTCCCCCAGGTGGGCCCCCTCATCCTGTGCCACAGCCAGGGTATCCAGGATGCCAACCCTCAGGTCCCTACCCTCCTCCACATCCACCACCTGCCCCTGGCATGCCTCCTGTTAATCCCTTGGCTCCTGGCATGGTAGCACCAGGAATGATGATGGACAAGAAGATAAGGAAGAAAATGAAGAAAGCCCATAAAAAGATGCACAAACACCACAAGCATGGCAAGGTCAGTGCCTTCTGAAGTCTGGCTAGGAAAGGGGTGCTCCCTCAGAGGGACTAGGCAGGCAGGGGTTGGGTGAGAGGATTCACAGTCTGTGGACATGGGGGATGGCAATTGTGTTTCTCTGGTAGATGGTTCTTCCCTTTTGTAAGATTATGGGAAGATTCTGATAATCTTGAAAAGAAATACCAGGCTCCTCCTATTTCGAAGGGGATAGTGTGAGCCTTAAAATGTCTATCAGAATCAAAAGCCCATCTTCTCTGCCTTATTCTGTCCAAAATCTTTTTTTTTTTTTTTCCTTTTTGTCTTTTTTCGTGACTGGTAACGGGATTGCAACCCTCGGTGTCGCACCCGCACCGCTCTCAACCAGTGAGCGGACCGGTCTCTATATGGGATCCAAACCCTCGGTGGGAGCACCGCCGCGCTCCCAAGCGCCACACTCTACAGAGTGCGCCACCGGGCCGGCCCCTGTCCAAAAACTTTTGCTCCCCCATACCCAGGAGAATGTTTTAGCAAGTTGGACATACCCTCTGAGGTAAAAGTGTCAATTAATAGGGTCAGACTTTGACCAAGCAAAGTGGTGTATAATGATTAACAGAATAATAATCTGGACCTAGTTCCAGGAGTTCTTTCTCTCCTTCAATGTTCTTAGGGTGTTGTGTTAGTTACATGGGCCTTTTGTCCTACCATCCAGCGGGGAAACTGAGGATGAGAGCAATTAATGACTTAGCCTCAAACAAAGCCTAGAGTTAAGGGGTTTCATAGCCCCAAGGCTAAATATCTTTGTTCTAGAAGAGTACTAATTAATTAGCAAGGGTAAGAGCTGCTCTGAGGACAACTCCAGAAGGATTAAACCAACCTGGATCTTGAGGAAGCCTGACATTTTACTGCATTTAGTATTTATTTGCCTTGTGGATTTGGGCTCTAGTTCCTGATGCTGTGTCTTTGGTAGAAGTCTGAGGGGAAGGAAAGGTGAGATTGAATGGGCAGAATTAGCCTGGAAAGACTAAAAGATGTTTTTAATGGTAGTGTTGATGGGAGTATGCATGTAAGGAACCTTGAATAGGACTCCTCCAGCCATTTTTCCCACCTTCCTCACTTTCTCCCAGTTGGGGCTTAGGAAAAAGTAGAGATATGTGCACACACAAGCTGTTTCTACTCTTTTTTTTTAGATTTGTAAAATCTAGTTTCTTAAGGCCGGCCCGTGGCTCACTCGGTAGAGTGCGGTGCTGATAACACCAAGGCCACGGGTTCGGATCCTATATAGGGATGGCCGGTTTGCTCACTAGCTGAGCATGTTGCTGACAACACCAAGCCAAGGGTTGAGATCCCCTTACCGGTCATCTTTTAAAAAAAAAAAAAAAAAAAAATCTAGTTTCTTAGATTTGGAGGGACTTTGCATGTAGCTAACGAATAAACATTTATAAGGTAGCAGCTATTTCCTAGCATTGTACTATGCGTGTACCTATAATTTACTCCTTGCCTCGGCCTTGGTTCAGGTTAGGAAAGTTGGAAACTTGCTCCAAAGGCAATATGTTAAATTCTGTGCAATGATTTAGGATGGTTTAATCCATTCCTATATGCTCACTGCTGAAGGAAACCCTTGATTTTGTTGTTTAAGGAACAGTCTTGTTCAAAATTCCTGACCTTAAGGAAGTAAGGGTTGGGTGGAGAGGTGGGGCACCAAAGAATGGCCCATGAAGTGATCAAAGGTTATTTGGATCTTGGGTGGGGCCGGCCCATGGCTCACTCGGTGTGGTGCTGATAACACCAAGGCCACGGGCTCAGATCCCATATAGGGATGGCTGGTTTGCTCACTGGGTGAGCATGGTGCTGACAACACCAAGTCAAGGGTTGAGATCCCCTTACCGGTCATCTTTTGAAAAAAAAATAATAATAAAATAAAAAATAAAAAAAAAGGTTATTTGGATCTGATGCTCTCTCCTTTCCCCTTTCCTCTTGCAGCATTCCTCCTCTTCCTCTTCCAGCAGTGACTCTGACTGAATACAGGATGTGGACCCTTCCCTCAAGTCTCACCAGTTCTGCTCTTCCCATAAAGCTCCAGATGTCATGTTGCACTGGGGGAAATTAGCCCTTGTGCCCCCAGTCCTCACTCCCACCTGAGCCTTACCCTGCTGTTCAGTACTGACTGGTTAGAGAAAATGGGAAGAGGATTACCATCGGCTAGCAAAGGCCATCTTATGGCTTCTTGGATAGATCTTATAGATGATGAGCTTAGCAGAGGAGCTGTTTTTTGAAGATGATGAAATTTGGAGATAAATGTTGAAGTTTAAAATCTGTAAGATGTGATTTTTTAACTTCCTTTTGTAATAATTGTGGTTTGGGGGTTTTGTGGGAATTTAATTATGAAGACCTGTGCCTATTTTGTAATGGTGGCACACTTAGGTGATTTAGTGGCAAATACATTTCCCAGCAGGCGTTTTTTTTTGGCACCATGCTCTAACCAAGTAACCGGCCACCAGCTAGCACACCTTTTATTGATTGCACTAACTGTAAGGCTGCTGGGAAGTAGAGTCAATTTGGTTGAACTTTGATTTCCATTTTGGAACCTAGTCTCTACTCAATAGCCTATCTCAGGTCCTACTCTCATTCTCCAACTCTTGAGTCTAAATAAAGCTACTTCTTCTGGTCTCTGTTCACCTGTGCCATTAACTTGATTTAGCCCAGCACATTTTACTATTTTTGCTACCCTTCCACAGACCCTTTAAAGTGTATCAGTTTTATAGGAAGGAACCAGAGCATCAATGAGAAAGACACCATAGGAGGGTACTTCAAAAAGTTCATGGAAAGATTTGTATTATCTTTTAATTCTATTTTCCCATGAATTTTTGACATTCCCTCATACTATTCCTATGTTTCTTAAGTGAGAGAAACCCTCAGAATTGGTTCAGACTGGGGCTGGCTGGTTAGCTCAGTTGGTTAGAGTGCCGCCTTATAACACCAAGGTTATGGGTTCAGATCCCAGTACCTACCAGCCTCAAAAAAACAAACAAAAACCCCCACCAAACCGTTGGTTCAAATTCAGACTTAGTGGCATGAATCTTTATCGTCTTCACTTGGATGGGTATAGGGCTTTAGCATATGTTTTCATATCTGCTACAGAGGTTCTCAACCCTGGTTGCCCATCAGCTAATGTGGGGCATTGCCCCAAATCTACTGAATAAGACTCTTTAAGGATGTGGCCCTACAAATCAGTATTTTTTTTTTTTTCCTTTTTTTGTCTTTTTTCGTGACCGGCAACGGATCGCAACCCTCAGTGTCGCGCCCGTACCGGACCGGGACCAGCAACGGGATCGCAACCCTCGGTGTTGCGCCCGCACCTCGCTCAGCCAGTGAGCGGCCGGTCTGTATGTGGGATCCGAACCCTCGGCGGGAGCGCCACCACGCTCCCAAGCAGCGCACTGTAGCAGTGCGCCACTGGGCCGGCCCTACAAATCAGTATTTTTAAGAACCCCGTACTTGGCTTGTTAGCTCAGTTGGTTAGAGCATGATGCTGATAACACAAAGGTCCAGGGTTCAATCCCTGGGCCAGCCAGCCACAAAAAAAAAGCTGCCTACTTACCAATGTACCACAGTATTTTTAAGAAACTGGGTGGGGCCGGCCCGTGGCTCACTCGGGAGAGTGCGGTGCTGATAACACCAAGGCCCCGGGTTCGGATCCCACATAGGGATGGCCGGTTCGCTCACTGGCTGAGCGTGGTGCTGACAACACCAAGTCAAGGGTTAAGATCCCCTTACCGGTCATCTTTTTTTTAAAAAAAAAAAAAGAAACTGGGTGATGCACAGCTAAAACTGAGGGCTACTGGTTTACTATATGCCATGCACAGTACTACACATTTGGTTCTCAAAGATCTATTGAGTGGAGAAAAAAGACATCTAAGAGAACTAATTAATAAGGACAGATGTCGGCTGAGCCCGTGGCGCACTCAGGAGAGTGTGGCGCTGGGAGCGGGGCGGCGCTTCCGCTGCAGGTTTGGATCCTATATAGGGATGACCGGTGCGCTCACAGCGCTCACTGGCTGAGCGCGGTGCGGCCGGTCTCAAAAAGGACAAAAAAAAAAAAAAAAGAAAAAGGACAGATGCTATAAAATGCTGGGGGATATAAACAGAAACAATTTTCTCTGGGAGAGGAGAGAGGAGCCAAAGATGACTTAACAGAAAAAGTGACATTTGGGCCGGCCCGTGGCTCACTCGGGAGAGTGTGGTGCTGATAACACCAAGGCCCCGGGTTCGGATCCCATATACGGATGGCCGGTTAGCTCACTGGGTGAGCGTGGTGCTAACAGCACCAAGCTAAGGGTTAAGATCCCCTTACCGGTCATCTTTAAGAAAAAAAAAAAAAAAAGAAAAAGTGACATTTGAACTACTTCCTCATCCTTGAGTGTGAAAACAGAATGAGTAGAAAAGATAAAAGAATGGATTTACCAAGTGGATGGTGGAGAAGAGCTGGGGAAGTCATGTGCTTAGGTAGAGTTAAAGCTCCATAGCATATTTGGGAATCACAGGTATCCTGGTGGGACTAGACTGATTTCCTGGAAAATTGTTTATTGAGGAAAATACTGTGTCCTGGGTGCTGAATCTACAAAGATGAATATGACAGTCCCTGCCCTTCATGACTTACAAGATCTAATAAAGAATATGGACGTGAATAGGATGAAAATATAGTAAGAAATACTATAACAGAGACATAGATCAAACGATGGGGGAGCAAAGGAAGGAGTGACAGTTTCACTGGGGAATTGAGCTAGGTCTGTATGGGGATTCAGGATGAGTAGGAGTTTCCCAGTTGGTAAATAATGTCAGCTAACACATACTGAGCATTTATTATGTGCCATGCACTGAATGCTTTACATTTATATTTTGTGTAATCTTCACAGCAACTCTGTGAGATAGGTACTGTTATTCCCATTTTGTAGATGAGGACAACTGAAGTATTAAGAGGTTAAATAACTTGCCCAAGGCAGTAAATGGTTGTCAAGATTGGAGCTCAAACAGTCTGGCTCCTGAGTCTGTGCTCTTAACCCAATGGATTCCAGGCAGAAGAAGCAGCTTTATAAAGGCACGGAGTTGTAAAAAGGTATAGAATGAAAGTTCAGGAGCTCCTAAATCTGAATTACTGTGTAGGAGCCCGAAAGCAGATAGTGAGTGTGCAGTTGAGGTCATGGGGCTAAAGGAAGGAGTGGACATCAGGAACATGTTTCTGAGGTGGAACCCACAGGGTTTGGGCATTGAGTCAAGGTCAAGGGTTTGGTTCGCTCTACCAGCCAGCCACCAAAAAAGAAAAAAAAAAAAAAAAAAAGATTCAAGCTGGAAATTCTGGCAAGAGTGCGCCTGCATTCCTGAAGGCATAAATTCTGGCCCTCAGTAGTGGTCATTCCTTGTAGATGGATCCTGTACTCTCTAGTTTTCCCATAGTCCTTTCAACTCCCTGTTGTCTTTCTATAGGCCAGCTTCTCTCAATTACATTACTTGCCTCCTGAGAGCACTGGGTTTGTATCCACTATGTGCATCTGTATATGTCTCCGAAGATGGTGGTTCTCAAATGTTTTTATCTTGTGCCTTCACTACCTTGTGTCCACAAGAGCATCTGGGATTCTGCCATTGTCTTCTTACTAGAAATGAAGTAGACCAAGATTTCCACTCAAATGAGAATGGGAAAGGATAAGAAACCCATGAGATCTAAAAATACAAGTTGACATTTTATCTTTGGGTACTGCAAGTAATGGGATGAGTCCTCATCTAGTTTGCTGCCTTTCTAGAATCATTTCCCTATATAAGGTTACCTTGTGGCCTAGGCAAGTTCACTCTCTTGACTAGCTTGATTCCCCTACTGAGAAGAATTTATTGATTCATTAATTATTAGGTATTGCTATTAAATGGACTCCAGCTTTCTCTTTCAAAGCTGGCTGCAACTGTTGGCCAGTTGCATTACAGCCATTTGATCTTTGTTTTGCTCCCTACATTAGATATGATTTTATGGATAGCCACTCACTTTCAACCCAGCTCTCTAGAGCCCCAGGAGTATAAATGACCCAACTGCAAAACCTTGAGGTTAATCTGACCTTCAGCCCAGGCCTCACAGTAAGCCTGTTCCTTACTTAGCTTTTTTCTGGGTGTTCTAACATTTTCCTACTCACTTTCCTCTCTTTCAGTACTTGGTCTGTCCCTTGTCTTTGCTAAATGACAGACTTTCTTTCTTTCTCACATTGTCCCTAATACCCAGCTCTTCATTTGGGCGGTGAGAGGAAAAGCATTGGAGTCCTCCAGCCTTATTTTCCACTTCAGGAAGCTATCTCTCTTCAGAAGATTCCACTGATTTGGGGCTGCCCATTAAAACTTGACTGATATTAAGGCCAGAACAGATGCCCAAATAACTTGAACAATGTTCAGTAATAACCCAGTATTTGTTGTCTCTGAATTTCCTTCTTACTTTGTCTTATTCACTGGCTTTTTATTTTTTAATTTTTTAGTCTTTTTTCTCTAAAAGAATTTTAATGTGAGATATACACAAGAATAAAGAATCTTGTTCCATTTCACTTTTTAAAATTTTTTTGGCAGCTGGCCAGCAAGGGCAACCAAACCCTTGACCTTTGTGTTCCAAGGCAATGCTCTCATTCCAGATTTTTTTTTCCTAATTTTTATTATGAAAAATTTTTTTAAAGTTTAAACAAAAAACAATGATCATCCATAAACCTACCACCTACATTCAACAACGTGTTATTTTGCCATATTCGCTTTATCAAGATACCTGTGAGAACCATTTGAAAATCTGTGGCATACATCATGACCCTTACCGTTAAATATTTCATCATGCATCTCCTAAAAAGCATTTCTCTACATAACCACAATTGCATTATCACACTTATTATCACACTTAAGAAAATTAACAATACTTCCTAATAGTATCTATTATTCAGTTCATGTTTGAATTTTCTCAATTGTCCCTAAAATGTCTTATATAGCTATATTTTTTAAAACCAGGATCCCACATTATATTTGGTTGTTAATGCCTTTTAATATTTTTCTACCTCCTTCCTCCTTTCAAAAAATATTTACTTGGACTTTTTGAAGGGACCAGTTTAGTTGTCTTGAATGTCCCAAATTCTGGGTTTACAGAATATCTCCTTGTATTGTGTAGGTGTCCAACTTGTTCCTTTATCACCTGTAAATTTCCTGTAAACTGCAAATTAGATCCAAAGGCTTGACTACCTTAAGATTGAACACTTCTGGCAGGAACACTTTTTTTTTTTTTAAAGACTGGTAAGGGGATCTTAACCCTTGACTTGGTGTTGTCAGCACCACGCTCAGCCAGTGAGCGAACCGGCCATCCCTATATAGGGATCCAAACCCTTGGCCTTGGTGTTATCAGCACCACACTCTCCCAAGTGAGCCACAGGCCAGCCCTTACCGGTCATCTTTTAAAGAAAAAGAATAGTTACTTTTTTTTCTTGCTGTGTGATTTGCAAATAATGTGTGTGGTGATATCTGGCACCATAATATCCTGTTCCCTAACAACATTTCTCTTAAAATTTTAATGATTGATGACACTTGCCCGAATCAGTTATTTCGTTCTAGGTTGCAGAATAGTGATTTTCTAATTCTTTCATTCCTTCTACACTTATTAGATGGAATGGAGA